CGTAGTAGTAGTAGTAGCCATCGTAGTCGTAGTAGTAGTAGTAGTAGTAGTAGTAGTAGTAGTAGTAGTGGTAGTAGTAGTAGTAGTAGTAGTAGTAGTAGTAGTAGTAGTAGTAGGTAGTAGTAGTAGCAGTAGTAGTAGTAGTAGTAGTAGTAGTAGGAGTAGGAGTAGGAGTAGGAGTAGTAGTAGTAGTAGTAGTAGTAGTAGTAGTGGTAATAGTGATTTCGGCGTCTATATCACATTCTGGTCTCTAGGCCCACAACACCAAGCTTCATAGTCTGAGATGTCTTATGATGTCTTATCCCTAAAGCAATAACTGTCAGACCCAAGCTCTGACATCTGAAGACTAGACTGGAGACACCCCCCTCTTCACAAAGGAACACAGACAAAAAAAAAACTACACTCTACTCTAATGTAGGTAGGGGCCCTAATATTTAGAATAGGGTTTTGAGGGTTCCTTTTTAAAATTAGAGTATCATATGGGTAGTTGTCAAAATTATGGTCCCTCTTGGGGTACCCTAAATAATAGGTGCCGTAATATGATAAGGACCCCAAAAGGGACCATAATTTTGACAACCACCCATATACCCCCAAGCCCTGTTCTAATTATTAAGGCCCCTATATTAAGCCCCCAACTCTTGAGCCGTACACGCCGCCGCAAATGAGGGCGGGGCCCAGATCGCACTGGAAGCGCTGGCAAGCCCGGCTGCGGTGCCTTGGGGCTTACGGTTTAGGGTTTAGGGTTTAAGGTTTAGGGTCTAGGGTTTAGTAGTTCAGGGTTTAGGGTTGTCGATTATATTGCAGGCTGCAGGGTGCTCGAATTGTTTAGGGTTTAGGGTGCAGGGTGCGAGAAGGATTGAGAAGGTTTTCTGGACTTTGTGCACAGGTTTGCGAGGGCCTTACGGGTTGCTGAAGATTGAAACTACAGTTACCTCGTTGAGGGGTCCCTGTAACAAGGATCCTACTAGTTAGGGTCTACACCTGGAGTCCCTTGTTCTGGCATGATGATTGATGCTCGTAACTCCTTTCTTTGCTCTTGCTGCTGCCACTGCTACTACTCAGTTTAGGAAGCTCACCCATCAACAACAGCCACGCTGCTAGGCATCGCGTTCAACGTGGGTGTTACCGTCCTTGTCTCTATGCTGGCAATGCGAGGTGAGCAGGCGCACCAACAGCAGGCGGGCCTTGTATGGGGTTTAGGGTTTTGGGCCCTTTTTGGCAATCAAGCCTCAAGCCTTACATCCCAAACCCTGTACCCCAAATCTGTCACTGCAAGCATAATCTAGATCCTTCCTGAAATTGAACCTGAGACTCAGGGCTAAGCCACTCATGTAGCCCCCAGGCCTTGCAATCCTGAAGTCCCGGGTGCCGAAGCAGCCTCCCACCCATCACCTCAAATGCCAAGCCCTGCAACATGCTAAAGCCCAAAGGACCAAGTCCAGAACAGCATCATCAGCCTAAAGCTTTAAATTCCAAACCTAAAACCCCTAACCACCCTGAACCTTTAGCGCCAACCTAAGCCCCAAACCTAAAACCCTAAACCGCCCTAAACTCGAAACCCCAAATCTCAGCGAATCCTAAACTACCCCAAAATCCGACCTCAAACCCACAGTCCGGACCCCCTGAGAGGCTCGAGCTTGCAGCACCATTCCTTCTGCACGGCCTCCCACTCCTGGGAAACCACAGGGCTTTCTGAGTTTTTGGGTTTCGGGTTCAATCTTGGTCTGGGGGTTCGGCTTTACGGTTTACGATTTATTCTGGTTGTAACACAGCGGCATTTCGAGCATTTCAGAAGGTGTTCTTTTGGGCTTTTCATCACCTCCTAGGGTTCTGCTGCAGTCACGCACGGCTTTCGGCTCTACCATGAACCCTAAACCCTAAACCCTAAAACCTGAACCCTTGCCCCTTCTTCAGCGAATTCAAAACTTGATTCGAGGCAGCGGCCGTTTCCCACTTGTCGAAGCCAGCATCACCTCAGTCGGAACCCCTGAATGAGGGAGCCAGTGCTTTCGGGTGTAGATATTTCCTTTTTTTTTGTTTTTCAGAATGTTGGGGTTTGGGGCTTGGGGTTAAGATTCGGCCTCCTCGACGAGAATGTTGGGTCTCAGGCTTCGGGCTTCAGGTTATTGAGTCTTCGGGCTTTCAAAACCGAAGATGCAAGAGCCTGACAAAGGACTGGCCTTGAAAACAGAATGAGTGCAGAGCACATTGTCTACTCTCGATAGCCCTGCATAGCTTTGAAAGAAGATTCGAGAAAAATGTTCTAAACCCCAAACCCGAAACCTAGCTCCAGCCTTTGTTTCGAGGTTCTCCAAACGAGGTCGAATCTCACGATGGTGAAGGGGTCGGGCTACATTGTTGCGCTGGTAGGGTTTTAGGGTTGGGCTTTAGGCTTTAGGGCCTATGGTTTAGAGTTACGGGCTTGGGCTTCGTGTTTGGGGTTTGGAGTTTAGGATTTAGGTGTTAGGAATGCCATGACATAAATACGGAATGGAACACGAAATAGTGATGATAATCGTACTAGTTCTCACCTTCGCGAAAGTTGTCCTCAATGAAATAAAACCCTAACCCTGCCCCAAAATTCCCTATACCTTGATCCCTAAAGGCCCAAAAGTCCTCAATGAAATGGTATCGCTCTGGGGGCTGCGCAGTTGTAGCTATCCGCAGGGACGACCGGTTCGGGACAGCCCTTGCGATGCTTCCTTGGCACAAGCTTGACGACTAAGGTCTTGTGCTCACGGCTGTAGCGGTTAGGGTATGGGGCTTAGGGGGTCGGGTTTAGGGTTTAGGGTGTAGGGTTTAGGGTTTAGGGTTTAGGGTTTGCAGGAGGGTTTAGGCTTTAGGGTTTGGGGTTTGGGGTTAGGGCTGGGGGTTGATGACTGTTGGGCTTGTGTGCCGAAGCTTCAAGGCCTCAAGATGTGAGGCTCAGATCCCCTTCGTTTTTTAACAAGCTCAACACAAAGGAAAGAAACCTCCACCCTAAACTCCAAAAACCGAAATCTTAAACCCGAAACCCTATAAAACCCTCAAACCCCTAAACCCGAAGACCCTAAGCCCGGAACCCTATACACCCTCAAACCCCTAAACCCGAAGACCCTAAACCCGAAACCCTATAAACCCTAAAACCCCTAACCCGAAGACCCTACACCCGAAACCCCGAGCCCCAACATGTCTCGGAAGACTTCCAAAGTCTGAGCCGGGGCCCCGGGCCAGCAGCAGAAATCCCTCTTCTCCTGCGCCCACATATCGTCCATGCCATCCTGGCAGAGGGCTCAGGGTTTGGGGTTTGGGGTTTGGGCTTTTGCAGGGCCTTTTTGGTGTTTGCAGGGTTTGTTTTTTTTTTTTGAGGGCCTCCGCCTTGCAACGTCTCCCAAACCCTTTCGGGTTTGGGGCTTAGGGTTCAGGCTTGATTGGGCTTGTAGGCTTTGGGGAGAGAGTGCAGCGACAAGAAGGCTTACAGATCAAGCCTACGAGGCTGCAAGGTTTTCCGGCGGTGGGTCTTTGCAATTAAGGACTGAGAACTTGGAGTTGAGTTGAGGGTTGGGGATCGAAGGTTAGGAGTTAAGATTTTTGGCGAAAGATATAGGACTCAACACTTGGGGTGAAACCCTCAACTCCTAAACCCGTAAACCCTAAACTCTAAAGCCGTAAAACCCTGGCACCCTAAGGCCCATAAACCCCACAACCCCCTGTTTGGGGAAGGGCTTCTTAGACATCTGAGTGCCGCACGTGGCAGTTGTAGCTGCTGCCCAGATGCCTACGTGGTTCGTGGGTTTGGGGGTTTAGAGTGCGGGGTCCATTGAGAGACAGGAAGAACAGTCCTGCAAGAGCTTTGCAGCTTGGCGCTTCCATACCAAATCCGGATCTTCGAAGTAGATAGATAGATGGCTTCGCTGGGTAGACAGACAGATAGGTAGACGGATAGAAGTAGATAGATAGATAGCTTAGCTAGGTAGATAAACAGATTCATAGACAGATAGATAGACAGATAGACAGATAGACGGATAGACAGATAGACAGATAGACAGATAGACAGATAGATAGATAAATAGATAGATAGATAGATAGGTAGATAGATAGGTAGGTAGACCAGTAAGTAGATAAGTAGGTAGATCGGTAGGTAGATAGGTAGATCGATAGATAGACAGATAAATAGATGGATCGATCGAAAGATAGATGGAGAGATAGATAGATTGGTCGATAGATAAATAGATAGATAGATAGATAGATAGATGGCTTAGCTATGTAGATAGATAGATAGGTAGACAGATAGAAGTAGATAGATAGATAGCTTAGCAAGGTAGGTAGACAGATAGATAGACAGATAGATAGACAGATAGACAGATAGACAGATAGACAGATAGACAGTTAGACAG